GAAATTGTCAGAACATAGTTTGATTCTACAACCCTTATAAGAGTTTTGATGATAACAAACACAAAGAAGAGTTATGCACTCTAAAATTATATTCTGTTTTGTAGAGAAGTTCTGATGGAACAAGATCAAAAGATAAGCTACAAGGTTGTTCCTCCTATGAATGTAGACTATTCTGAAAAAGGTCTGATGAAAGAAGATCAGAAGTTATGCTAAAAGAAAGATGTTTTAACTCTGATTACACAACTCTGGGAAAGTAAGTCTAACACTGCAAATAGGATCTTATAGCTCTGTCCTTCAAAAGTTCTGAAGCAAGCAACAACGTATACCTCAATGTTCTGAAGCGTTACAAATCAAATATCTCCATTTCAAGAGTAACGACTGGAAGGGAATAAGGATCTTTATTTTTGGAAAGCACCTTAACTGTCATTAATCAAGTTTCCAAATGATCATCCATGATGCACCTATTTAAACAAGAATTAAGGATAAATCATTCATGATTTTCATGACTCTCAACAACGCTGCAATCTTTCCTAAATCCTCAAACATACAATACTTTAAATTGTGTAAAACATCACAATACTGTGATACTGTTTTATAATAAACAACACTGTACACTATTTTATTCTTGTATTATTTAGTGCATTTCCTTGAGAAAAACTGGGTTGTGGTTATACTCAAGAAGACTTTGGAAGTTGTCAAAGTAGACTTATAATCAAGATTGATTAGTGGATTAAGACCTCGTTGGAGAGAGGCGAAATTACCTTGATGGGTGGACTGGAGTAGTTTGAGTTCAAACGAACCAGGATAAAATCAACGTGTTCTTTCCGTTGAATTTTAAGATTCCAATTCAACCCCCCTTCTTGTGTTTTTCCATTGGTGAACCGTTTTTTCAATTCTTCCCAAAGAACCTAAACATTTTAGACGTAAGAGATACTTTGAGCAATCAAAGGTGTCAGAGATTGAGTTATCCACGAGATAATAAGACCATTACACCACTCCCAGGAACAAAAAACGGGATCATATTCTGGTAAAGGTGGTAGCTTTCCATTGATGAATTACAGTTTGTTCTTGCAAGGAGGGCTCACTTCATTCCACGACTCCAAGTATGATAGTTGTTGTTGTTTAATTGTGGAGAGACCAAAACCAATCCTGGATTTTCACCCATATGAATGTAATAAGGTGATAAGTGTGATTGGGAGGGATCTTTGATGTGATGAATAGTTCATCATTGTTTTTATCATAGGAATATGAAGAAATTTATTCTTCGTCCATTGGCGAAGGTGAAAAACAAAAGAAAAGAATGAAGCGTGTTTGTTATGATATCACTGATGCCATATTAAAGAAATAATTGTGTATTTCTTATTGATTAAAAATAGTGAGTGATTACATGAACTTCTAGCTAATTACATGAGAGAATTATGACTAAATATTCTCCAACGACTATATCAGTAAGGCCTAAATAAGAAAGAAAATAAGGCTAGAAAAAGGAAAGAAATAATAAGTAATTAATTCTTAAGGCTATAAAATAGGAAAGAAATAACAAGTAATTAATTCCTAATATTTTTTCTCAAAATTTTCTAACTTACATTTATTATTCTCAACACTCCTCATCAAGTGTTAGTCTATCTACAATGATCATACTCAAATGAAAGCTCTTTCATCCACGTACACATGTACCACCATTGACACTCTTCAATGGGACACCTCATACCCACCACCATATGGGAAGTAATTTCGATACAATTGAGTTGGTCATTCACTCGAACCAGGATCTGATACCACTGTTGGGTCATCAATTCAGGGGGGGGGGGGAGGTCAACACAAGGGATAATTTTCTATTTAATGAATAAATTTTAACTATATCTTTAATTATTCGAAGTTTATATGTAATTAAGGCTCTAGAGTTGTGAGAAATGGAGGATAAACATACCTTTGAGTCTACTAGTGATAAGAAAGTTGTGCATCTGGTCAACTTTCTTTTTGATCCAGGTATGTACATTTTAGGAGGTTTAATGATGATGTAACTGTGGAAAACAACCTTTTCATGCTTATAATTTTCCTATGATGTATTATCATCATGTGAATATCTTTCACTTTCTTTGTAATATTTGCAAGATATTTAGAGAGGGAGATTTCCTTAGAAGGAAGGTTATTGGAAACTACAAGACCCTTGGAAAATTGGTTTTTTTCTTGTGTAAGGTTGTTGTTGAAGTATGTTTAAATAAAAAATAACTTATTTATAATATCATATAGGAACTTCATTGTTGAAATATAAATATGAAGATGGCGATTACAATGATGAAGAAAGGAAAAACTTCCCAAACCCACAACGATAATTACGACATAGACGATGACGATGAGAAAAAATAAAAATGAAAACAAAATATTATTATTTACATTCCCTTCTCTGCTATGTTGTTAACAAATAAGGAATGTCACATTGAAGGGTAGGTATGCATTTGTCCAAAATAGAAGCTCGCATCCGCTATGACAATCTCACCCTTGCCCAAAACGGCGATGAAACTGCTACCATCATCTTCAATACTGACGACATTAATCTCTAAGTATCAATAATGAACACCACTTTCAAATGCGGCCACAACTTAATGAACTATCCCTCTTTGTAGAAAAACGTGACTTCTTCAGTGTTGAAATCATAAACAAAATCGATTCATAACTAGAAGAGAAGCCAGAGCCATAATTAAAATCAGATTAAAAAACAAAATTAGGATTCAATCTTGTGTATACCAAAAAGTCCTATATTAAACTAAAGGAAGAAATAAATAAAAAAGGTCATGGTTAAACATATGTAACAATTTTATCTTCCTTCAAGAAGTTAATGCAATTGAATTGCTATGTGGTGGTGTCTAAATTGAAGGAAGTTATCTTGATTAAAAACTTTTGTTGATGCATAAGTGTGTATGTTTATATGTCACATCATAATGCTCAATTTCGATACTAAGCCTGAAGTTAACTTTGGTGCATGGTGGTGGCTAAGTATAATTTTATTCTTATGATCCTTCACTTGTATTGTGTTACACTCTCATTTCCTTTAACATAGAAATATTATTTATCAGAGTTAGCACAACAATTGATATATAACATATCTGAGTTCTTTTGTTTCATAGTTATCTTTAGCGATACCAATTGAAGACCAAATCATGAAGAATTAGAATGATATGTTGTACTAATGAAGTGGATAAAAACAATAGAGTTCTCAATTTCTTCGATTAGTTATTCTTATTTTTAATTATGAACTTGATTTTCTACAGCGGTGTGGTGTTTCAAATAAAAAAAATTCATAGCATGGCGCATGGAATTTTAATTGGTGGTGTTAATTAAGTTACTTTTCTTTCAATACTTTTTTTATTCTACTTATGAGTTTCAAGTGAAAAGCTTTGCATATTGATTTCTTGTGGTTTAACATGTGCTAGTGATCTTTGTTTTCTTAAAGGTGTCATAGTATTATAAGTCTAATAAAGAAGTTGAATTATGTAAAAAAATAAGGAGGATTGATATTAATTACAAAGTATTAGGTTGTAAAGGTTTTGATGCACACCCTGTTATCAGTCCTGAACATTGAGACATTGATAGTCATACAATTATCCACTAATCTTCCTTCAGCATTTCAAATATAAGTTCTTCATTCTATCACTGATAAAGGATGAAAGATATTAAAACTAATAAATCACAAATATTCTATAATATCATTTCATCTTGCGAGGTATCATTGTGCCCTACAGGATATCACTGCACCCTACGAGGTATCATTGCACCCTACGAGTTAAAATTCAATGGAAAGCAAATAATATCATTCAAAATTGCCCGAACTCACGTAGGCAGGATATATCAACTCCATACTTGTATAAAATTGACAAATAAGACATTATAACGAGGTTAATAGGGGAACTATATCAATAACTTACTTGACATTATTTAATCTTCTATTTTAAATAAATCTCTTTTCAATCTTCAATATGAGAGGCGATGTAAAATCACATGACCTTCAATATGACAACAAAAGTCAATGGCGAGATAAATTTGCTTTTTTTTTTAATAAGAATGAATATAACTCAATGATTATTTAAGACATATATTAGATCATATAAATAAAGTGATTGAGTTGAGATGTATTCACCCTTTAATATTTTTATATCAAATAAGATAGGTAGATTGAACTTGTCGAGTTATGATTTACTCAGCAAAATGTCAAGGATCATATATTCAGATAGCCTAGACCTTGGTCTACTCGCTTTAGGTTACATGAAATGCTCGGAGAAGACTTGAATGAGTATCGATGAGTTGATTAACTCTCCAATCAAATTTGTATTCCTTATTATTTCTCTTCTTTTGGTTCAAGAGTGTATAATTTTCGTGTATGTTGTAGTGTCACTTCTTTCATTTAAGGTTTATGTTCCACACTTTCCTTTCATTTCCTTTTTGATTTTTTGCGTTTTCATTTTAAACAAAATATATGGATTTTAATGGCTTATTAAAACATACACAAAGTTTTTTTTTTATGGAAAAAACCTTAACTCATACCATTAATAAGAAGTTGTTGAGTACATGTTGGAATATCATAAAATCTGAAAACTAGCAAGAGATGGAGCCACCATTGCCAAAGCATGTGAAACTTCATTAGATTGTCTTCTAACGAACTTAACATGAGAGTTCATAAAATAACGAGCTAGTAAGTGTTTGTATTCCTTGATGATCTCGCTAATCTATGTAAATTTTAGTTGTTGGCTATTCACGTTATCCACTATGCTTTTTTGAGTCCACATCAAAATCTACACCATCCAAATCGAGTTCATATACCCATTTGATTTATGCTAAAACGCCTAAAGCCTCCCCTTATCCACCTCAATAATAGGTGACATCCACTTCGTTCGAGCTACCACAATCAGCCTATTTTTTTCTCGTACACATACACTTATTCCTACCTTATTATAAACCATAAAGAAGAAAGCATATATATTGCATTTGAGACAACCTACTGTATGTTTACTCCAAGTGTTGATCCTAGAAATTTCATTTTGGTTAGAACTTTTCGCTTGGAATTGTTGTATATTTCTCCATCCCATGGGCAAGTAAGAGGCACAATCATAAATTATTTCTACCGAAACTTAAGTGTGACTCCAAATTTAATTATTTCTACCCTTTAAAATGCTCCAAATTATTACCGAAAACAAGGCATATTGGTGTTGACTTAGAACCTGAAAAAGAGAGAAAATTATAGATGTTAAAGGGGTATTAGTTGTCTCCATTTATAGAATAATAGGTCACAAATCAATTAGCTTCTAGCACTCAATACTTTTAGGACAACATAATACAAGATGTTTATGATCTTCTAAACCTTCTCCATAAACTTCACAATAATGATGACATTGAACTTCTTTATCTATCAATCGTTTTTTGCAGGCACACAATTTCTACATAAGCGCCATAGAAAATTATTTACCCTTGGGGGAGTTTTTAATTTCCATAAGAACTCCCGGTTCTCCGGACCTTAAGATGAGATGTATCAATAGCCTATTCTATACAATAGTTTGAAAATAATACACTATGAACCGAATACATTATGTTATTTTCAAACACTTATGCTCTTTTGTCAACCTGAACAACTTCAAATAAGGGAGTTTTAATTTTTTTTTTTACTGCTTCTTCTACTCCAACAAGAATATGTATCAAATTGTTATTCTACCGTTTCCCCATCAGAAACCATCAACTTATAGAGATTCAGATTCTCTACTAACGAAATATTTGGCAAATGATTTACCAAGGAAGACCTATCATATAACTAATTGTAACCTCAAACCACAATAGAATCTTCCAATCCAATGCTCCACCTATAACCTCCTGCACAACAAACTTAGAACTTCAAATACTGCGCCACATATAACTAAAGTTATGTCCGATAGATGACTCAGTTAAATCACATTTAAAAAATTACAAAGCTTTTATGAGAAAAAATAATTTTTATACTACTACTACTTGAGTAATAATATAGAATTCAATTTTTTATAGTACATATTTTGTACAAGTTTGTTCCAATAAAAATTTTGAAAAATAAATTAAAATGAAATTGGGATGAAATGTGGAAATTTTTATCACAACGTTACATTTAATATTTCTACACAACTATCAATTAAACTGATTTAACGAAATAACATATTAAAATATAAAATATAAATATTATGTTGCAATATTTCATACGAAATTGAAGTAGTGTATTTTAACAAATAAATATATTACACTATTAGAGTTCACTTTATTTCATATAGACAAACTCAAGTAATTTTATTTATTAAATTTTAATTTTTAATATTAAAATTTAAATATTAATGTATGTTTAATAATAATGTCTGCGCACTCTAAATAGTTAATTAAAAAGGTTAGAAAATAAATTGAAAATTCTTCGCAGATAAATTTTTCTCATATATTTTTATTCTTGTGTCTCGAATCAAAAGTGCTCATAAAAGCTCTCAAATAACACGAATCAATTTGTTTAATGCTTTATTTTTAATCTTCTACAAACTATAATATAAGAAACATATATATTTTATCCTTAAAATTAAGTCTTTCATTAAATTTTTCAAAGACTATCAAAATAATTTTGGTATATATATATATATATATATATATATATATATATATATATATATATATATATATATATATATATATATATATATATATATATATATAAAATAATTAATATAAATATTTTATAACATTTTTTATTGGAAAATTCTATAAATTTTGTTTTTCACTTTAATATTTATTTTACTTAAATATTAAAGTTTAAGTTAATTGAGTTTAACTAAATCTACAAAGCGAAACTCATCTGAAACTCAGCTTTCGTATGCGAACCAAGAAAGAGTAACTCCAACGCTCAATCGCTCCATCTCAGAATCTTCTTTCCGTCGGAATTTTGCGTCAATCGTAAGTCCTTCGAATCACAAACCATCGAACCATTCCTAAATTGCATATGAGTTATGATCTTTGTAACACTGACATCTCTGAGATAATGCGTGTCAGATACTTGTATAAACACTTGTGATTATATTTAATTAATTGATTTTTTAAATTATTATCAGTGTGTTGGGTGTCCGTGCTTCGTAGTTTACCCGATTCTATAGTTTGTGGTTTTGTCTTGTAACCATTTATTGCTGCTGAAACAGAACTAGTTTTTGTGTCTCTAGTTTTTTATTGTTATGCCATGATTGCATGTGTTGGTTTGCTGAAATTGTGTGAAAATGCCATGAATTCAGTTAAGTCTGTAGGTCTTTTGGGATCTGCCGTTGCTGTTTCTGATACTTGATATTTGATTAGTGATTTTTGTTGTTTTTCTATTTGGATATGAACATTAGAGTTGTGTGTTTTAGCTATGGCCAAACTTTTAAAACATTAAAAAGTCCTACTATAAAATATGAAGTGCTGAGTTGGTTAGTGATATGAAGCACAGACACATTATGGGTATCAGATATGATATGTATCCGATACATTGATACGTCAGTCAATGAAAAATATAGGATAGGATATGTTTTAGATATCAGATACGATACATATCCGATACATTGATACTTCAGTCAATGAAAAATATAGGATGGGATATGATTTACAAATCAAATACAATACATATCTGATACATTGATACGCCAGTCAATGAAAAATATAGGATAGGATATGTTTTAGATATCAGATACGATACATATCCGATACATTGATACGTCAGTCAATGAAAAATATAGGATGGGATATGTTTTAGATATCGAATACAATACATATCCGATACATTGATACGTCAGTCAAGGAAAAATATAGGATAGGATATGTTTTAGATACGTATATAAAACTTAAAATTATATACTAGTTAAATCATTGTTCATCAATAACCAATTGAATTTGCAAAATTTGATGATGGATAAAAGTGAGAGAATAAATTGGTGCATCACAAATTACATAGGAAATAGAAGAGATAACTAAAATTTACAGGGGAGTAATTAAAGAGGGGAAAATTTGATTCTTGTTATAGAAAACTAAATAGTTCCGAGGTAATTAAAGTTTAGAGAAGAGTACTTAAAGAGAGGAATGTTTGAAGAACATGAACAGTCATGAGATTAACTAGTCGTATCCCTTACGTGTCGAAGTAGTGTCAACAGTGTAACATGGCGTGTCGCCGCCGCATCAAGACGTATCCGGATTTTTTTTGTTTTGTTTTTAAATAGTAAAATTCGGATACTCCTTCGATATGTATTGGCAACATATCAGAGTGTATTGGCGTATCGTTACGTATCAGATACGATTCGGCAATGATTTTGAAGTATACATGCGTCATAGGTGGTATTGCATACTCTTATGACTAAATGGTGCATGCATGTGTTATATTATAGAAAGATAGAAACTGTAATCAGTATATATGTATTTGAAATAATTTACTATAATAGGACAACACAGTGGAGAAACACAATTATATGCAACAGGGCATGTATAAGTTTAGTGTAAGATGTTTATTTCTCTCACATAAGAGCAGGGGAAAAAATCTGTAATAAAAATTAAGTCATATATTGTGTGAAATTTATCATGAAACAATGTTGGTTTGTGAGGGAGTGATTCTAAACATAATGATACTTTTTTTTTTTCAATTATGTTTGTTTTTTTGGTGCTTGTACAGACTTGTAGGCTATCATTTTAACAAAATCATTTGATGACAATGACTAGTGTCCTCATTAAAATAATGAAAATCTAGTATCAAAGAAAGAAATGAAGCAGTTACATGAGATGAAATTCTGTTCTGTTCTGCAGAAAACGCGAGTTTAATTGAGGGCAGCTGGCAACTCATTTTTACTATATGATATTTTATAACATTCTAACATATATGCGTATTGAAGTATATTTATGGTGACAGGAATTTGGTAATACGCTGCTTGTGCTATTAGTGAAGGCACCGAGAGAGTGAAGTTGCTGAGTTATTTGCTGTTTAACCCTGCTGCTATTTATAACCTGAGAAAAAAATTAAAGAGATAAATGGGTAGTCCACAGTTGCCAAAGAAAAGAGTGGCCTTTGTTTTGATTGATGGGTTGGGTGATGTGTCGCTGCCAAGGCTGGGATACAAGACGCCTCTTCAGGCAGCAAAACTTCCCAATTTGGATGGGATAGCATCTGCTGGGGTTAATGGATTGATGGACCCTGTAGAAGTTGGCTTAGCTTGTGGAAGTGACACCGCTCATCTTTCTCTGTTGGGTTATGATCCTCGAGTTTATTATCGTGGTCGAGGGGCATTTGAATCCATGGGGGCTGGATTGGCCATGTCGCCTGGTGATATTGCTTTTAAGGTTTGTGCAGAACTCTCTTTTGTTATTATTTCTGTGTAGTTTTAAAATAATTTCTCGGTAACCTTACTTTTCAAAAGCATTAATCATGCTAATAGCTTGTAAGCTTGATGAAATATTTGTCGAAAAAAAGGTTGATGAACTATCTTCCTGCAGTCAAATTTTGCAACTCTTGATGAGAAAACTGGAATTGTCACTAGTAGGAGAGCTGACAGGCACTTTGAAGAAGAAGGCCCCATACTATGTGCTTCCCTTGATGGAATGAAGCTTCCATCTTTCCCTCAATATGAAGTCAGAGTCAGGTGAAGATGTATAAGGTTGCTATATCATTTAAGTGTTAATTGTTGGTGTCGGTGGCCACTCATTATGGTTAATGTTAAGAAATGTGGTTGGGCCTAACTCAATCCTACAAAACCGGCTTGGAGGGTGAGGATTGCCCCCACTTATAAAGACATGGTTAGGTCATGTATTGTCCGATGTGAGACTCTTAACAGTTAATAACTTAACATTTAGTTCTTGTTAGAGAAATTGTTTTAATAAATCTGTCAGTCTTATCGTAAGTTTTGGAGAATTTTGGATGGTCGAGCTCTATTTTGTCTGGTTTAAAGATTTCTTTCCAAAAATTTAAATGTCAACCCTCAAAGTTAAGTTGATACGTAGATGATTGCAAGTTCATGAAGACATGACTCACGATTTCAGTAGACTAATATTAACAGGTCATTCTACGTCTTTGTAATTATTTTCATAGGTATGCTACAGAACATAGATGTGGAGTGGTTGTTAAAGGACCAAATTTGAGTGGAAATATATCCGGAACAGACCCGTTAAAGGATAACCGCTTACTTTTAAAAGCAGAAGCTTTAGATGAATCTCATGAAGCAAGGAACACTGCTGATGTTGTTAATGAGCTGTCTAAGGAAATAACAAAAATTTTGGTTTCTCATCCTGTGAATGCTCAACGTGCTGCAGAAGGGAAGAATATTGCAAACGTTGTTCTTTTAAGAGGATGTGGCATTCGAATCGAGGTTTGTTCTTTAAGCTCATAACATAATCTACACAATTATCTTCAAAAAAGTGAGACGTATCAGGGTTTTTCCGTTAAAAAAAGAAGCATGACTATTGAAGTGGTCTTTCAATAACTTAAGGGACTTTATACGTTTCCGTGATTATGTAAGATGAACTACAATCTGTGTATTAAACGATTATGTGTGCATGTACTAGCTATTGCATTTACTGCTTTTACATTATATATTACAGGTTACGCCATTTGCAGATAAACATGGTTTGAGACCATGCATGGTAGCTCCAACAAAAATAATTGCTGGTTTAGGCTTATCACTTGGTATTGACATTCTAGAAGCTCCTGGAGCAACCGGAGATTATCGAACTCTACTAACTTCAAAAGCAACAGCAATAGCTAAGGCGCTCTCAGCTCCTTCGCAGTCTTGCCCCCGAGTTTTTGTACCTGGAGAGGATGAGCATAAAGCAGGTCCCTCGGATGGCTATGACTTTGGATTCCTTCATATTAAGGTTGAAATTGAAAGTTTCGGTTTCTTTATCTTTTTTTACTTCTAGATCTCATATGTTAATGTTACTACAGGCAATAGACGATGCAGGCCATGACAAAGCAAGCATTCTCAAAGTCAAAGCATTAGAAGCTGTTGATACTGCAATGGGGCAGTTGGCAAGATTACTCTGGGAAGCAGAATCAACTGGAAAGTTTCAGTTTTACCTTTGTGTCACAGGAGACCATTCTACACCAGTAGAATACGGAGATCATAGCTTTGAACCAGTTCCGTTTTCTATATGTCGGTTGAAGGACTTTGTAGGTGCAATTGGCGAATCCGTTATTCGCCAAACATCTCTCGATCCATTTCCTCTTCCAAGTGTCAAGTCTGGCGAAGACTTGGCTTATGACTTGGAAACAGAAGATAGAGGAGGAGGTAAATGCTCTCAATCTTATAGCGGTGATTCGGTATATGAGTTGAATGAAATTGCAGCTGCGAGGGGATGCTTGGGGCGTTTCCCTGGCGGAGAAATGATGGGAATTATAAAGAATTTCCTCAACCTAGATGCAAAAGCTTTTCCAAGTTAAAGCTTTTCTGTTTTGTTCTGTAAGCAAGTGATATGGGTGCAAAAGAAAAAATAATCAAATTTTGAGCTTTTGTACTATTGCAAGTCTTTTCTACAAATAACAATGTAAACTCAGCTTAAATAAATGTAACTGTTACTATTTATTTTAGTTTTTAGAGTTTTTTTAAATAATTTTTATATTGTTAACTAGATTTGCAAGACAAACAGTGGATATATCACATAGCTACCAACCTAACTTCATTTATTGTCTTTCTGAGTTTATGAGATAGATTCTTCTTTTTACTTAGCTCGAGTGGCTACACAAATTAGTTCTTAAGTTTCTGATTTAATTCATCCTTGTCAGTTACTGCTAATGATATGCCATTAGTTAGTTTGTCGTAAAAAATGGTAGACATCTTCTATTATTGTTGAGAAATTAACATTCCACCCTCTAAATTATACATAGCACTCCACAATTTTAGTTATTTTAAAATGTTATTCTAAAAATGTTTATGAACAAATTGATAAATTCTGAAAATTATAAAATATACTGAAAATTTTGGTTGTGTAAAAAAAAAATTATTTTTTTTCTGAAATATGAATTATCGGATTTTTCGAAAATTCTAGTAACCTTTCAAATTTCTGGAAATTTCAAAAAAATTGGAATTTTTTTTAAATTTCTGGTATATCCCTTAAATATCTGGTAAAACTCATTTGTTTTTTGAAATTTGGTGATTATTTATAAGGATATAATGGTAAAAGCATACTCTCTGGGGGTTGTCATGTATAATAGGGGATGAGATGTTAATTCCTCCCTATTGTTATGGTAAAGCAATGATGCAGTCTCCTTAATGAGCTAAGTGGAGTCTCATAATTTAGGAGATTTCTTTGTACATTCTTATATGGGTGAAAAACACTCTTGAAAATCTCAAAATATCCTATGGATATACACATCCGAACGAATCCTAAAATCAATTTTCAAGGAGATACACGTTAATAAACATTCAGTGATACTTTCAGATATGCATATCTGAAACACCTTGAAAATTGATTTAAGGGTTCGTTCGGATATGCATATCTGAAACCCTGGACATAATGTTATTTAAAAAAAAAAATCATTGATGTGGTACCTAATAAATGTCAAATATTTGATACGTAATTCATTTAAATAATACTGAAATACCAAAGACCGAAAATAATACCAAACATAAATTTTTCATAAATACTAGAAGTTAGTACATAAATTGTTTAAAAAGTATATTATGTGAAATAAATACATTGATAAATAAAAGAAAGACATAGTCTACTGCATATACCTAATCCTAACTTCCTGGCCCCTTCTCTGCCTCCTGTAACCCGCTGTAAGAGATGCCTCCCTAACCATCCTCTCTATGATGGCCACCGTCTCAGGACTGTCCCTCTCAATGATCCATGAGTTCAAAGCCTTCTGCCTAATCAACTATATTCATTGACATATTGGCAAGATATTAGTGGCATGGTTATCCTGGACATGCTGATTCTCCAAGATCTCCTTGTGAGCTGGTCTAGGTGGACGTCCAACAACATCTGGTGTCATAATAGGGTGTGACATTATGTAGAATCATGTGACGTATCCCTGGATGCATGCGTCATCCGAGCCTCCTCTAGCATCATATGATTCTCCCAATCTTGGAAGATGCCATCAGGCTCCTGACGTACAATAGTGTCGAGAGCAGCCTAAAAGGGAGATTTGTGTATGGTTTACACATTAGTCAAATTGTCGGATGCATCACTCTGGAAGATATCTGACCATAGTGTTCGTCCCACATGCAAGCCAGCCTGAGTATAATGAGATGTAGTTGAATGGGACAATCTCCATGTGATCCTCAAAAGGCGTCCCAATGATGTCATCATGAACAGTCCGATCAAGATACACTCGGAACGACAACACATAATGATTCCCTCTATGAAGGATATACTTGGCAGCCCTCGGCATGTCCTTGGTATAATTCGACTCATAATCGAAACTATGAATATGGTGGAAGTGAGAAATGATCCATCCCTGAAACCGAATAAGAGATAAGCAAGAAAAAAATTATTAATAGAAAATTAAATGTAATAGTTGGAATGAAAGGTACTGTGAGCAGTGTGCTAGAGCCTGTCAACTGCACTGTCCTCCATTTAGGAGCTTCATTCAGCTTTTGGTATAGGTATATGTCGTACCAGAATTTTTTACCTAAGATCCCATCTCCTTTTGCATCATTGCATAACATTAAGATAACATATCATTCATCTTTATACCACTAACTTCATAAAAGTATAATGTTTTGTCTTATTTGTTTGTTGCTTGTAGCAGATAGGTGTGTTGGGTCAAGAGGATCCAACAGTTGATGATCGAGGACATGTATATTCATAAAAGATTCATACCTCTCATTCACTCATGATGATCATCACCTTCATCACAATCTCATCACATTAGGGTTTCATCATGGATTCATCAAGTGCTTGAAGAGAATTAGGGTTTTGGCACCCTCAGTTGAAAAGTAAAAAATTAGGGTTTTGGAGGTTGATCTC